TCAAATTTTGATTTACCATCGATCCATGTTGCAGAATACACTTTGGCAAATCCTCCTTCACCTATTTATTTTATATCTGTGAATCTATCAAAAGGCACCCGTACAAGAAATTTTGGAAATACCATATGTCTTTCATCAAATATTGTATCTTTGATGAATTTATCAATATCAGAATTTCCACTAGTCCATCCTTCAATTATACACAAAGGATTACATTTTTTACACCATAATTTCTCGGCAAATGGCTTATCGCAATAAGAACAATACTTCATGGCTAATTACGCCAATTTTTTTTTTAAAAAAAAATTTCTTTTGTAATTTCAATAAGGATATAAAAGGAATTATCATGACCAAAAGTAGATCAACGGAAAATGCTTTCCGCCGAACATTGCTGTACAACTAATGCGACAACATGATAGATTACCGTTGCTGCGGTAATTATCAATTATGCATTTTCATCATTTTTTTTTTTTTTAGTTTGGTCTGCCAATAGTTATATTAAAAGCAAAATGGCTCAGAATAATTATCTATTGTGACATTGGGAGATGACGAAGCTTTAATCAAACAATTATAATCAGATAATAGTAATTATAAAAAAAAAAAAAAAAAATAGTATTACATTGAAGATAATTCCGCCCGAAATCTCCATAATTTCGCATGAGATCGCTTTTGACATTCGCAATTAGTCTTTAGAAGATCATTTGCCAGGTTGTCAAGGTTGCCAGTATGACAAAATGTTCAGGGCGCTAGTCTGGCTAATTTTTTTTTTTATATATACAAGCCGGAAATCCTTAAACAGCTCAACATTCCACGCTCGCCCTTATTATTATTTGAATACATTCCCCTCGAAATCCTTCCTTTAACACCTTCGCGATATTTTCTTTCGCCGTTTTAACTTTTTAGATTTCGCATTTGTAATTTCGTCTATTTTAATTTCCGATTTAATTAGTATTTTTATTATTCAATTTTTATGTAATTATTTCGTATTTGCGCAGTTTTAATTAATTAGAATTTAATTGATTAGCATTCACTTAGTTTTTAATATTTGACATGGCGAAAGTGTAGAACGTCGACGTTGAGACAACACTGATCGAATTGATAATATTAAATAAATTTAGCGTCAATTATTATTCAATTAATACCTTCTGCTTACAACACAAATTATTTATATATAAATAAACGAAAGAATTGAATACAACAATAGTATGGAAACATTACAAAAGGAACGAAGATAAAACAGTCCGCGCCTTACTTTACATTTCTTACTCATAAAGTAACATTCTTACCTTTATATAAAGATTATTCATTAAACCCCCCGCACGAGATTAGGTAATTTAATTTTTTTTTTTTTTTGAGTTAATTTTTGTATTTTTGAAAATCAGTTGATGACAAATTTTTAGAGCCCTTTTTAAGTATTTATTTTAGTCATTTGAAAAGTAAGCCACCTCTTTTTAGTGATTAAGAACGGTAAATTGTAATTTCGTTAAAGTCAAAGATCATAAAATTCAAACCAAAGTTTTATGTATAATTGCGCTTTGACCATATGCACCATAAGTTAAGTCAATTACATTTGTGCAAAAAACTATATAATGGTCAGGTCGGTCATATTTAAAAGACATACTTAAAATTTTCTGTGAAGGTTCGTTTAAATTTGTAGAGTTTGGTATGAAAAATAATTAATAAAAGAATTAAATCAACATCCTTTTTGCGTAATCAAAATAAATAAGTCGTTTTAAATAATAAATCATATAGTATATCTGATATTAGTGTAAACTGCGTGCGTGGTCGCGGGAATAAGTCAACTAACAATATACAGTATGTAATAGCTTCCACCTGAACTTTTACAACTGCTCGATGTCTTAAAAATGTGGCAAGAAAGAGGGTAGTGATGACAGATGTATGTGAACTTGACAATAAATTTTAGTCAAAAGCTTTGTTATACCTACGAGCCTAATAATTATTTTTAATTTTTTTAGTCATCCGCTTTCCAGAAAAATATTTCACTAGTATAATAAGTATGTTTTCGATTGCTATGTCAAAACCCTCACCTCCAAACTTAAATGATTATGTAGACACCTCGCAGGAGGTAATAAATGCAGGTTATTCAACTTACTGAATGCGTTAAATATCGCATGAAGTTATTTATCTATTTCCTAAGTTGAATAGTTTTCTTAATCAAAACCAACCATTATCATGATTTTCATCGTGGTAAAGACGCATATTAAAAATATTTTTAAAAAAACTAATTAATCCATCATAAGGTTATAATGGCTTCATCATTTTATTTTATACCGTTTCGCCATCTTCAAAATAATATTTAATTAATTTTATATTATAAATTTTTAGTTTCAATAATAAGTTTCCTATTTTGTAATATAAATCTAAAACAATTACATATGTATTTATTTAAGGGTAATGTTAAAAGAGATTTCGCCAATTGTTGTTAAAAAAAAATTGATAATGATTGATCCGAAAATTTTTAACATAAAAATATCTTAAAATTTGAAATATACAAAAATTATAAAGAAATTATTTAATTAAACATATGGGCTCTTTGCAATAGAAAGGTTCGAAACCAAATAAAAAAAATAATTTTTTTTGTGCTAACATTAATGTAAAAGCCGGATTTATTTTACAAGCAAAATTTTGATTTTTTCGAAGAGCGTCATAAATGGTCTGGAATTGGATATCCTAATTAAATTTTCGTAAAAAATTTGAAAAGTTCAGTTATAAACGACTTATAAAATTTCAAGACTTATAAGCGTGTAAAACAAAGGATGGCCAGTACACGATTAACCTTGTCGAAAAAGTTTGCAAAGAGATGAAATACTTTTCTTTACGATGATACCAATGTCAAGGTTGAATGAAGCCCTCGTGGTTGACTTCAAAATAATTTAGCAGTTAGGTCATGTTAAAATAAATATATTAATTAAGAATACATGAGAACAAAGAACTGTTGCTATATGCATTCAATTATTTTTGCTTTTTTGAAGACAATGTAAAGAAAATCTTTCTACCGTCCCGCAGTTCCGACTGCAAGATACGCATAAACAACCTCCGCAGGTTAAACCTCGGAAGTCGATAGGGAGAAAAGGAAAAAATAATTTTCATCTTTATATTTAACTACAAATTTAATCAAGTCAATTTTACAAATTTAATTTAAAATGATTAAAGAAAAAATTCACAAATTTTAACTTGACTGTTACCATATTCCTGAGAAATTCTTGGTTTAATGTATTTTAGCGTTAATAAAAAAAGACAATATACAGTAGGTTATGGTGAGGAGAAAACGAACTAAAAGAAATGGATAAGAAAAAAAAGAAAATAATTTGGTAAATAATTTATTGCAGTGACCCATAACGCCTAAGTAGAAATTTCACGGTTAATTCGATTCCATTAACTATTGATTGAAATTTATTGTGTCATATTAGTTACATATCTTTAACAATCTTTTTTAATTAACTTTTGTTTTTTTATAAAAAAAAAAAGCCAATTTATACTCTAAAAAACTAACTGTATTAAATGAATATCGATAAAGTATATTTTAAAGATGGGTGAACGGATCCATGGAATATTTGAAGAAACACCTCAGAAATTTTATTATTCACGTGATAAACAAACTATTAAGGATTGACGCTTCGAAAATACAGAAAAAACATTTCAACTTAATATATATATTATTTTTCGTGTTTTAACTTTTTTTTTTAGGCCTATTGTCAAAATTATATTTCACGACACCTCCAATTCATTATAAATTCAAAGCATTTAAAAATCAATGAAGTTACATTATTAACAAATTTAATAAAATTAAAGTTTTCGTGTGACCTTAAGTATCATTGTTCATTATTTAGTGGTTATAGGAATTATTACCTTTATCATGCCTTGAATACTTTTCTTAACTAAAAATTTAATTTTAAAGTTTGTACATTATTGGAAATATTCCATAAAAAAATGTTATGTAATTGCCAATCCTATCGCTGCTGGTGTATGGCATTAAATAATAATTTTTGATATTCTTATAAGATGGAATTAAAATTACAAAGAAAACGTAAAAAACATAAAATAAAATAAAAGTTAAAAAGATTGCACAACAAGATACATACTGTATTACTTGTTTATTATTCTACTTTTTTGTCATTTTTATATTTAAGTTTACACGGTTAAATTCATTCAAAAATAAATTGGTTTCGAAGATTATAATGGAAAAGCTTATCCAGGTAAATTATGTTGTTCTATATCTTCAATTTTACCAACATTATCAATTTCAACCTATGCGTTTTTATTACTATTACGTGTGCGTGTGCGTCTTTAAATAAAAATTACGGATGCCACAATCATCACAGCACCTAAAGTTCCACTAACTGAATAGATTATAAGCTAAATAAAGCGTTTGTTGTTTCATTTGCTGTTGGTTCCTTTGTATTGTTATTGTTGGTTCAAATGAATTCGCACCAGTAAAATTTCTAATATCCATTAAATAAATATTGGGATTCTTAGATGCCAATGGTTCGGAAATTGGTTGTGATTTTTCCTATCATAAATAAAAAAAAAAAAGTAGTTAAATATTTTGAGTTATTCAATAAATTAATCACCGAAACTTACCAAAAACCACAATCATATAGATTCCAACCAGATTAGTCTTATGAGATGTTGGCGTAGGAACTTGACCAATATTTGATACAATCGATGGTACACTAAATTCAAATTGTTTTGCTTCCATATTAAAACGAACATTTCTGGCATAGCTGGAGCGTCGGATATGTTTCAATGATCTTAGAACCTCCATGAATAATAATTTTACCTTCTGAGGCTTTTTTAATATAAAAAAATAAAAAAATAAAAATAAACGAGAAATAATAATTACTTAATATGTCCACTACATTTATCGATTGTGCTTGAAGTTACACAGACTTTTAAAGACCAGGTTAGAGAATTCGTGTCATAGAGATTAACTATTTTGATGTCCACATCTTGGGACTCTATAAATTCCAAACCACCAAATGTACGCAATAAAACCATTGGATAATAGTGTTGCAGTTATAACCATGACGTTTGCTAGAGCGTTTGCAGGGGTATTAATGGACCATGATAATTCAATCGTAATCATTTCGTTAAATTATGTTCCCTGCGTACCTAAGCTACGTCCTCCAAAGTTGTACACGCTTCCTGAATTATCTATGATACTACTTATGGCTCGACGTCTTTTGGGTGAAACTCCTTTAATGTTAGTGATGTTCCATGATGAGGAATATAAATTAAAAGAATAGACGTTTGATACAAAAGAATCTTCGTCTTTCATTATGCTATACGTGTATCCACCAAATAAATATTTATCATAAGTTAGTCCAAATGGTTGCGATACATCAAGATAGAATACTTCGTTTGAACACGTTTTATCATTGTTCACACTGCCAAAAAAAATAAATGTTCTTTTCAGCAAGAACAGACGAATGTGCCATACGTCCTATCGGGTAAATGATTCAACTCCAATAAAGAAATTGGCTTTCAAAAAATTATAAATTAGTAAACAATTACATTTTCATGTTCTTAGTTCCAATTAATACAAAATTAAATTATTTTATTTATTTATTTTATGATTAATCGACTAGACTTATGAATTCACGCTTGAAAAGAAAGCATTTAAAAGGAAGATTCTTTTCTCTTTATTATTATTTCATCCTTCATTTGGGAATAAACTTAATTTGTATTTCATAAACAAAATAAATTGTTGCATTATGCTGTGCAATTTGATCACAATCTTATCTTAGGAGTTGCCGTTGGAACGAATTCAAAAATACTTTGTCGAATTTTGAACTTTTGTTTATGATGTAAAATCTATCAAACAATTTTTTATCTTGCTCCTCCTTTTTATTTTTATTTTTTATTTTCGATTACAAACGCTAAAAAAATGTTCTTAACACTTATTTGACACTATTTCATTTTTAGAGTAATACGAAAAGGTTGTCAAATTAATGTCAATTAAATAAATATTTTGCTTTGGTGTATCTCTCAGACTTTGATAAATTTCCTTTAAAGGAATACTGTATTATTGATTGTTATAATTATTATTTAAATTAGTGAATTACATATTAGAGCGATTGTGATATTTTACCCTTGAAATTGAATCCAACATGAATAAACAGAGTTAGTCATATCATATCTCATAAAGGTTCAAGTCCCAAAGTCACACGAATTGCATCGAAACCACCCAGTTTGCCATTGATTTGTCTGCAATGCCCACATGTCTTAGAAGTGAACTCCTCGGTGCACTCGATGACCTTGCAATACTTGTACTCTCTTATTATGTGCAAAAGAAACATTCTAAACTCTAAAATGCGATCAGGTTAGCATTGCGCAGGCTGTCCTAGATCGGATCTTTCTTTTATTCTTGAGAACCATATGTGATGTTTTGAATTTAGGTGACATAACCATCGGGCCAGCTAGTGATGACACTCATCTATCAAATTACGGATTCGTTGTATGTTTCGTAGCATCTTATTTCCAATCAAAATCTCTTTCTCTTGTTTGTTCTTCCCAAAGCAAGATCCTTGTAACTCTGAAATTTGTCGTATTTCTTGGACAATTTGAATACTTAGTAAATTTTACCATTACCCCGCTCAATTAATTGATCATCAGGTCGTAACCTGGATTTAGCGAGATTGCCTTTCTATGAACATCATCTTGATTATTGATAATTTTCAAATGAACAGAAACACACAAGTAAATGTCTCAGGTGATTCATAGTTATATTAACCATGTTATTGATCTCTGATAGTCATTCTGAGGTAATAATACTCTTTAAGAATGCGTATTCTCCTCTGTTCCTATTCCAATCCCTGGTAAAATCGAGATAGTTTGTGTTCGATCCTTCTTCGATCAGTACTTCATTCAAAAATTATTTCTGTACAACTTCTTAATTGTTTGTAAGCGCTCATCAATTATCAGATCGCGCACGAACGTACCTCCCTAGAAGTCTCTTTTACCCATAAAAATTCTTCAATGAAGCACCTATTGTTCAGGTAGCTCTCTCATATTTCACTCATATCAGTGATCCCGTCATCCTACACCATCTCAAGAACTTTATTGTACATCCACCTCATAGTTTCCATCTACTTTATTAGCTTTTCTCTTCATTCTAGCATTGGATAAATCTGAATCTTTTGTGTTTTCAATCTCTTTCGTTATTTTTGATTCTCAAGTGATCTGAGCTCATCGTGTAGATAGTAACGATTGATAATAAGTTTCTCAGCAAGTTCACCAGATTCAGTGTCATCAACGTTAATGTTCAAACTGAATATCAGACCTTTGTATCATGCTTAACAAAGATCAAATCGACAAGTTCAAAAGCGAAGAGGCAGAGCTGGTCCTTGTAGGTAACCACAACCTCCTCGATATCTCCTTGGTATGATTGTTTCAAAATGGATGTAAAATCCTTGCATTTCCAGTTGAGAACAGACCCGATATCCTTGATGAGTTTGTGGTAGTCATTACAAAAATGAAGGTGACTCCAAAATCAAATTAATTGAAAGTTCGTTTAAATAATTCAGTATATTGAAGATTGCTTGTGATGAAGGCATAGCTCGTATTTTTCCTAACTGTGTAATTGGGACTTATTTATACTTGATAAAGAATATTAACTCATCGACAATGATGTAATGATTATTATTAGTCATTAATAATCAGATCAGGTTGTTAAAAATAACAGTCAGTAAAATAAATAGCAACATATTAGATTTAATTAATAATATTGTATTTGTTTTAAACTATATTTTTGGCCTTTTTTTTTCCAAAATGTGAATGCTGTAGCATCAAATTTATCAATGATAATTTAACACGAAATGCAAGAATAGCTACTGATTAAAGCGAACTTAACAATATTTATTTTTTTTGTTTTCTCAATTCATTAATATACGTCTTCATTTAGCTTCTTCAAATAAGTCATGTAAAAAATATAATAACCATAAAACAAAATTTCTAAAGATCTTTATAAATACAACGTAAGGTAACAAAAAATGAACCCATATCGTGCATTGAAATTTATTACTCGAAAATAGCTGATGTATTTTTTTTTTAATGTGAGATTATTAGTAGTATTTTAAAATTGTTCATAATACCATAACGATACTTTGTCGTAATTCCTTTGGTGCGAAATTTTTAATGATATCATGTTCTAGGATTCAGATAGCTCCTAAAATCGAAATTGAAATCGAATACGCAAACATCGATTTTAAATAATTATCTTTCAGTTTGAAAATATTACTTAAAGAAATGTGATTTTTTTTGTAAAATTTATAATTAAGATATTGTTGCCATGTAATACCAAACTTTCAACATATAAATTTTAGGTCATACGAATTTAAAATCTAATTCAAATTCTATTTATGTCAAATACTTGGTAATTTACCAACTTGTTAGCGTGTCATAATGAACGCTCCCATACTTTAGTATCACATTCCTTACTAGATAGAGAACTCTATGTAATTTATTGATAATTACTGATGTATTGAGATATTTATATATATTAATCTTTTAATTTTTGTTATCATTTAATATTATTATTTTTAGAGATGGGATATTTGGATCTTCAAACTACACTTCTTTTTTTGTGCGTAAAATAAATTTTTTACAATAAAATTCAAATGATTTATGAAGTCGAATCTGAACAAACCTAATTGAATATATTCCAACAGGTCTAAAGAAGGTCTTAGGTTGGGTTTCGCTAGTAATCAACAAACGAGCATTATAGGCAACATATCATTACTTGAATTATCCCTAAATTCATTTTCAGCATTATCAGCATTCTTTTGAAATGAACTCGAACTTGGTAGAATTATTAGTTGAAATCATTTTACAGCTTAGATTCAAAAAAAAATTAGAATTTTTTTTGCTGGAATATATTTATATAAATAGATGACTATAAGATAAGGGTAGAATACCTTGAAAAAAATTAAATATAGAATGAGCGAAAATTAAAATATCTGTGGTTACAAATTGGCAAACTTGTGGAATTGAATATTTTCTTAGAAAACTTTGATTCGATGGAAAAACTGTGTTAAATTGTTTAGTGGAGTGGGTATTCGTAAATACGCAAAATCTATTCTAAAAAAGTTTCGGATGATAATACAAAACAATTGTATAATTCCAATAAGCCTTAGAAATATATCATTGTAAATAAATAATTTCAAACAACTAATATCGTCAAAATAAGCTTTTATATACTGGTAATTTAAAATCTTCGATGACTAAAATAAAATTAGGTCGTACAAATCTGAAATTCAAACTTTCGACAACTTACTCATCATGTTATTATTATTAAATAATTTAGTGAATACAAAACTTTTTAAGTTTATATATTTTAAACTTTTTTTAATTTATTCGGTGCCCCAAGTTTCGCTCAGAATTTATGGCATTTTTATAGTACTTGCTGAATTCCAATGTATTGGTATTTCATGCACAATGAAATCGATGCTTGAATCGATGTCGAGCAAAGCTCAATTTGTGTGTTGGACATACAGTACATACGTAAAAATATATTTCAAAAAAGATAATTGTAAAATTATTTTAAAAAAAATATGGCTATGGAACAATGATAATAACACATTTCGAACTTTAGGCATCAGCAACATACCAACCAATAACAGGTGAAACGACATACTCATCATCAATCTTATCCTGTCTAGCACCCAAAAAGCCAGCAGAGAAACTCAATTTGAAATTCTCTTTCTCTATATTTAATTTAAATGGAACGTTCACCAATCCGGAAGGTATTGAAGAAGGAACAATAGAATTTTTCGTAAGTTTAAATCTTGACTCAGTATACGGTGTTAAACCTGGAATTGTGCCGAAACCAAGCTAACAAACTAAATGTCTTAATAACTCAACTATCTCGAAGGCCTTTCCTAAGAGAAATAAACGATTAACAATTTATTATCACGATTCACTTGTGTAGTTAGAAATCACGATCAATCCTGATATGAAGACAAGAAGAAGGTTGAAAGTTTAAATAGTAACTTTATTAATCTGTAGAGTTATAAGTCTAATGCCAAGACATATTCAGAAAACTATCTGATCGAACTCTGTCGATTTAAGGTCAACCTACAGGTCTATTAATATAAAATTACTAATTATTACTATACTACGCTACGCCTGTTGATGAAAATTATTCAAAGTAATTCAAAAGTTACATGCGTTACGTCACTTTATGATAATCGCCGCAGTGTGAGGTCATCTGAGGCGCAGTATGATTTGTGACACGGAAACAACCAAAAGTCTTCTTCAACGTTTCATTTATAGGTGTAAACGAATTGAGCACCACCGGTTCCAGTCTATCCAACCAAAATCAAGGTTCAATCATAACCCAAGAAGTTTTGCTACCTTTTCTTGATGATGTAACCAATCTTCTAAGGTACCATCAAGTGTAACCTTTGGAATACCACAACCACCATGCATTTTGTAGGCAAAATACTTTTTCATTGAATCCAACAATATAATTTAACTAGCGGTGATGGATGCACTTGTTGAGGTGGAGAAATCACATTCGAAAAGTTGTTTTAAATTTTTTACCTTGTTGATCGGTAGAATCTGAAAGTCGAGCAATCGCTTTCGGCCAATCACCTAAGAAATTTCTATTGATTCATTACTGCCTCATCCGGCACTCTGAGATCTTGTATCATAAACGAGTATTCTTCTATAAAAACGATTAAATAAGTTTAATGTTTATTTTTTTTAAAAAATAAATTTCATGGATGGATATAGTTCACTTTACCTCATATTTTCGTCATGCAGCATTTAGTTTACAAATTTAATATAAGAAATAACATTATATTAACTTCCAAGATGAATGGTTTGTAAAATTTATTCATGCATAAATGTTATAATTTTTTTAAAAAAAACATTCAAATGCTTTACTTAAAATATTATATTTCATATCAAGATTTCAGTACTTTCAGTTTATTAACATATAAAAAGCTAATAATCTGATCCTTTAGCATAGAACCTATTGTGTAACTAGCAGAAGGCTTTACTATTATTGCTAAGTTAGTATATTTTTACAAAGGTAAAATCAAATGCCATTAATAATAGGTAATAAAGATATATAATCTAAAGAAAAAATAGATAAAACAGATTCTTATTATTGTTTGCAATAAACCTTTGGATAAATAATTAACAAGTCTGTACTTTGTCAATTTCTTAATTATGCATAATCTAATTTTTTTACTTCACCCCTGCATTTAATATTGCAAAGTATAAAGAATGTATTAAGACAAAACTTTAATTATTAAATTTGATTATTTTATCCTAAATATGAAAATAAAGTTTAAATTATGTAAAAGCTTTCCCGCTGAAATTCAAGCTAAATTATTAAAATGTTAGCTTGATATACAAAATATTTTATATTGAATAGACTAAAATAAAAAGAAATATAATCTTTTATTTTTAATTGCCTCATGCACAAGTTTTTTTACAGTAGTATTTTTGAAGTTATGAAATGATTTTAATGCGAGATATTGCTTTGAACTTTTCCAATTTGCACGATAGACTTTTCCAAAGCTGCCAGTACCAATTTCTTGAAAGTTACTAAAATGTTTGTATTCGTTGTGAGTAAGATTCTTCATTCAACTCATTCGAATTGTTAAAAGCTTGCATGATGATTTATTAAGCTAAATGAACTAAAATTCTTGGAGAAAAAAGAAAAAAATATGCACATTTTAAGCCACAGAGATTTTCCTTAAAAAAGAACTGATAATTTAAATATTAATGCTGATAAAATTACGATATTATGAAAAATCAAAGTTGCTTAATAACATCATTTCCACAAATGAATCAAACGTAACGTTAAGAAAATTAACAATGTGGCGTAACACATAAATAACTATTTATTGTAAGAAATTCCTGCTTTAGTCGCTTATATGTAAAGATGCTTTTTTTAATTTTTTCCACAATAAAAAAGAGTGAGATTTATATGCAGACATTATTTTTTCTCTATTAGCCAGCATCGTTTAAAGTTTTTTAATTTTCTAAATTTATTTTTAAGTTTGTTTCATGTCTCTTTTTAATTAATTTAACTAAAAATTTTTTAGCATTTCCACTGATATTCCTTTTGTATCCCTTAGTTTGGCAGCATAGTGAATTTTTCTATATTTTTCATCAAAAGTAAAAAAAAAAGGTAAATTGAAATTTTCACGTAAAAATTGACATTATATATAGGAATATAAATGGAGGTATGAATTACGAAAGTGGCGATGATAGCATTATCTTTTTTTTGAACCTGATCTAATATGATAATAAATTTTCATTATGTTGTTTTTTATTTAAATTATGTTTTAATTAGGTTATAATAAAACCTAAGACTTCGATGTTGCTTCGATAGAATGCATGAAACTCTTTATAAAATTTAAATTTTCCAATGAAAATGGATCTTATCTGACGGTGATTTTTTTGTATAAATTTTTGGGTTAAAATTACTTTTGATAAGTGCGAAAATATTTGAAGAATAAGAGAATTTGAAATTAAAAAAAAAATACCAGACAATTAAAAAAAAATAATAATAAAGCCTTACCACAACAGAATCTGAAAAGAATCGCGAATATAAACATCATTATGTATTTAAAAACGCACGCAAATAATAGAAATCAAATTTTGTTCGATTATCAAAAACCACAATAATTAATTGTTTATAAAATAAATAATTATTTAAAAAATTTATCAAAAAAGTATATTTGGGAGGTTTGCTAAAATCAAGTTACGAACATAGTAAATCATATAATCCATGTCTAATTATTTAATTTGGATCACACAGCCTCGATTAATTAAAATTATAATGAAGTATTACATCGTTAAAACTTTAAGATTTATAAAAAATTAGGCGGTACTGCTGTAAGGCAAATTATATAGCTATTCAATATTTTAACAATGAATTTCTCCATTTTTTTAAAATATATATTTATATTTTTTTTATTTATCTTAGCATCTTGCGTGACAGCCTGTCAAAATGATCTTTAAAGGACTAACTGCAAATATCGAAACAATTTACTTTAATGTAACAATATCATAGAAAACCTTGCTCCGTAAATATATACCTTTGAAATAATGAAAAAAATTCAAAAATTAAAAAATTTTTTTTTAAAATCTAAAAAAAAACTAAGTTATGTCAATATTACATGAGCATGACCAGCTTTTTCTACATCTTTTTTTTTATTTCTAACCAAGTAAGTTCTTCTTGAAGAATACAAGAGAAAATTTCAGCTAGAAAATTTAGTAATTTAATATGTACCAAGATTTCATCATTTCTCTTTTGTTGGTAAAAAAAAAATCCTTTGCAAATAAGTAAATAAAATGAACGATTACGAAATTTCCTAACAAATTGCAACCTGAATGCAAACTAGAACGCTTCACTATTATCGCATAGGTTGATATATCGAGACAAGGGTTATCAAAAGATTATATAAAAGAATGTTTATATTGGGATAAGTTTATTTTAGAATTTATTTTTTAAAAGAGATAAATCAAATTCTATTTAAAAATATAAAGTTTAGAAGAAAATGTCTAAAGAAAAATTGATAAAACTGATTCTTGTTATTATTTGTAATAAACATTTGGATAAACAATTAACAAGCCTACATTTTGCCAATTTCTTAATTATGCATAATCCAATTTTTTACTTTTCCTTTTTCCTTATCTAATTATTTACTCATACATATAAATATAACTAATACGACTTGCATTTAAATTGCAAAGTTTAAAGAATATATTAAAGCACAACTTTATCTTCGTTTTAGGATAAATAATCCAATTTAACAATCAGAGTTTAAATTATGTATAAGCTTATCATATCTTTAGCCCTCTAAAAGAAACTTGAACATTAGTTAAAAATTTATAAAATAGTATAGGAGTTATTCGATTTAGTAGGGTTATTGAGGCGTTGAGTTTTTTAAAGATTCAGGACTAATTCTCGTTAAAGATTTTAGTAAATTTGGTAAGCAAATTATAGAAGTGTTTGTACAGTCAAGTATTTTTAAGGAGTTGAGTAATGTTAGTAGGATAGTTATTGGAGTATCAGAACAATCAAGTTCTGTTAAGGAGTTGGATAATGTTGGTAAGCTATTTATTTTAGTAAAATAACAATCGAGTACCATTAAGAAGTTGGGTAATGTTGGTAGAATAGTTATTGAAGTATAAGAACAATCAAGTTCCGTTAAGGAGTTGGATAATGTTGGTAAGATAGTTATTAGAGTACCAGAACAATCAAGTTTCGTTAAGGAGTTGAGTAATGTTAATAAGATAGTTATTGGAGTACCAGAACAATCAAGTTTCGTTAAGGAGTTGGGTAATGTTAGTAAGCTATTTATTTTAGTCTTACTACACTCAAGTAATATTAAGGAGTTGGGTAATGTTGGTAGAATAGTTATTGGAGTACCAGAACAATCAAGTTCTGTTAAGGAGTTGGGTAATGTTGGTAGGATAGTTATTGGAGTATGAGAACAATGAAGTTCCGTTAAGGAGTTGAGTAATGTTGGTAGGATAGATATTTGATTATAAAATGACCAAGTACCAGAGCAATTAAGTATCGTTAAGAAGTTAGGTAATATTGATAGGATAGTTATTAGAGTATTAGAATAATTAAGTTTCATTAAGGAGTTGGGTAATGTTGGTAAGCTATTTATTTTAGTCTTACTACACTCAAGTAACATTAAGGAGTTAGGTAATGTTGGTAGGATAGTTATTTGAGTATCAGAGCAAAATAGTTCTATTAAAGAATCAGGTAAAGTTGGTAAGCTATCTATTTTAGTATCCCAACAGTTGAGTACCGTTAAAGAGTTGGGTAAGGTTGGTAGGATAGTTAAATGAGGATTATTTGAGCAATCAAGTTGCGTTAAGGTGTTGGGTAATGTTGGTAAGCTAGTAATGCTAGTATAATTGCAAATGAGTTTAGTTAGAGAGTTCGGTAAGGTTGGTATGATCTTTATCTTAATACGATTACAGTCGAGTACTTTTAATTTCCGATATCTTTAAAATCCTCCTAAGATGTTTAATATGTTATCCTTATTAAGTTCTGTAATCGTTAAACTTTCAATAGTATCATCATAAATAATATCTGAAACTTCAATATTTGATTCTAATTCTTCTGCATTCA